AATTATAAAAAAAAGAGGTATTCATAAATATTTAGTGAATTTTCACTATTGAGATTAAACAGTCTGGGTTTAAGGAAGTTTCTGCCACTCACTGGGAATTTGACTTTGAGGAAATCACATGACTTTATTGATTTTTTTTTTTTTTTTCAGTTCTTGCATCTATGTAATGGGAAGTGAAACTAGGTAATCTCTCCCAGTTCACACACACTATGACTTTTGTAATAGTGTCAAGCTGGCTGTTCTAGAAAAGGTTCTTCCAGTTTTTAAAATTGCATGACCCATCTAACCTCAGTGCTTGAAGCCTCCACTGATAGAGCTTGGCCATAATCACTAGAAGTGGTAAGTTTTGGATGCCTTTACTGTTGGGTCATCAAAAAGGTCATCATTTTTAAAGTAAAGTATACTGAAATATGTACCACTTTTCAGGACTCAAACAAATTTCATTATCCAAATGAATGCTTCTTTCTTTGCCTTTCATAACCTTTTATTTTTGCATAGAAAAGTGAAGGTTAAAGAAGGAGAAAATGAAGAATGGCATGCTTAGGAATTCTAGGGAGATGAGTTAGTGGACTCCAAAGAGCAAAACAGCCATAAACACTCAAATAATTAAGATAGTATTAATGAGAGAGCAGCAAAGGATGAAGATAAAAAGATAGTGATGGGCTCCATTTTCCCTCCAATTTTTCCTTTCTCCATTTTTTTCCCTAAAAACTCTTCCTTTGTCATCACTGAAAAACAAAAACTGAAAAACTTTTTCCCTGAATCTAATTTCATAAATTGATAATGGCAAGAAGTTAGGACCAGTATGTGGGTGGGCAGTGGTAGGACTGCTGCAGAAGGTATAAGATGTTGACCAGTAGATCACCTGGGGCAGGTAGGATCAGCAAGAGACAGAAGTCACCCTAACAGGAGGCCAGGGAAATAGAGTGCCAACTCTCAGTGATGGTCTTAGAAACCCTAAGTGCCAACTATTCTACCCCAAATATGTTTGTTTGTTTGTTTTTAAAGACAGTCTCTTTTTTTTTAAGATTTATTTATTTATTTATACAAGCACTGGGTATAGTCAGAAGCGCGGGAGGGTGAGAGAATTCACCAGAGCCAGAGCAGAGAACAGAACAGGCAGATTGACGAAACACACTGCTGAGGCGAGCAGCGGGTGCTGCAGGAGAGGTCTGCGCGCCATGTGGGACCCCTCATAGGGGGCTGGGGATCCAACTGGCGCAGCAGAGGCTGAGGGCAGCTTTGCAGCCCAGTGCTCAACCGCTGCGCCACCAGGGAGGCCCCTACCCCAAAATATGTTTGATAAGATATCTTCTTGCTCACAAAGTTGTTTCAACATCTCTTCTGCAAACTGGATCATATGTTCATATGGTAAAGAAACTGTTTTTCTAAAATATGAAGTAAGTTAAATCTCTATGAAGCTCTTCACAAATTTTCAAAAATAAGGTCTGAATTAAAATACTTTTAAAAATATGACTAAAGTTGCAATCAGTGTTACATGATTGGTTAAATTTTATTCTTATTTTTCATATTTCAAAAATATTCCATATGTTTTTAACAGCTCTTTGAACTGTCTTGGCAATGACTAGATCAGCATATCTAAGAGTGATTGATAACCATATGATTCTTGGGTATCATATTTTGATGATGCTTTCCAGTGTTTTAAATTACCAAAATAAAAACCACACACACATACACACATACAGTTTTCCTGAGCTCAAAACTGTCAGTTTTTGGCTTGATAGCTACATTGAGAGTTTAAACATCATCATTAAAATTTTACAGGTGACATATCAGGAAAAATTAAGTCCACCAGTTCTGTTGAAAGTAAAACAGCCCCTCATTATGAATGAAATTGTGTGCTGGGTATGAATGCTAGTGACCTCTAAAAATGAACCGCTGACCCATAAATGGATGAGAATCAGCCAAAGTAAATGAGGCAGAAGTTTTCCCAGCATAACTGTGCATGCTGCAAGGAAGATTTTTGTCATAATTAAGAGACAGAGTGGTCAATAGGGAACATTTAACAGGAACAAGCATGACAACATTGCCTGTTTTTCTAGTCCTTCGTTCATCCTCACGCTATACCATCTTTCTGGGTTTTAAAAGTAACACATACATTGCACATAAAAATAACACATATGAGCATGTAGAGCAGAACTAAGCAAAAATTTACTTAGAATATGGACACTGTCAATGTCCAGTGTATTCAGACAAAATCTCTATCTAAATTTGCACTGTCCAGCCTGATAGCTATTAGTCACATTGAAATGGCTAGTGAGCACTTAAAATGTGGTTAGTCTGGATGGAGATGTGGTATTAGAGTAAAATAGTAGATTTCAAAGACATCACACCAAAAGGAATAATGTATTGTTTCTAATGACTGCTTTTTCTCTATGGCCACTAGCACATTGAATAGTATACGTGTGACTTGAATTTATGGCTTGCATTATATTTCTGTTGGGCAAAACTGATCTAATTGAAAATGTTGGTAAGTGAGTTATCATTTAGCAATCCAATGGAATTGAAATATAAATTCATATTAATTGACAATGTAACAACATGAACAAAACTAGTAACAAAAGTGATTGATACTTTCATGAGTTAACTTTTCCATTCCTTCTAAACTGGTAAGTTTCTGCAAATCCAAATGTTTGCTTAATAACTTTCTAAAGGGAAAAGAAGGAAAGGTAGTTCTGAGATAAGAGTTAGGTTCTGGAAGAAACAAAAGAATTATCTACCCTGGACTCTGCAAGGTGATAGCTCTTGGAGGTGATAGCTCTTGCTTGAAAGAAGCCATTATTAAGGAGGCAGGGCCAGGCTCTGCTTCTTTGATATTCATAGAGCCATACTTCTCTATAAGGAAGACTACTGGGGGACTCCCCTTCTTTATGAAAGTGTTAATGTATCTTCACTGATGGGATGATGTCATTTTGGAAGGGAAGCTGTAGCCCATGAAGCTAATATTGCAATGTAAATGTAAACTTAAGAGGGCACAAATGCCACATGGGTCATTGATTAAGAATTTCTAATACTGAAAACGGTGTGTTTTTTTAATGAGCATTATGCTCTTTTAGAAAGAATTTGATCTATTTATTCTATAACTTCCCCAATTTTCATGTTTCATTGGAATACTTTAATGCTAAAGCAAAGAAAAGTTATATTGTAGGTATACTTTGCTAGGTCTTATTGAAATAGTGTTTTAACATGTCTAGACTGGGGAAAATATTCAGAGTAGGTTGGGGAGACAAATGAAGCTGTTTAACCCTCACTGGCTCTGTGAATCCTCACAGAAAGTAAAGGAGGAACATGTTGTCTGACTAGGACAACATCACAGACAGTGCCAGCACAGCACACAGCATAGAAAATTATCCAGACTTTCACAGACATGCTCACAGAGGAGTGTGGCCATGTGAGGATTAAGAGACAAAACACGTGCAGTGCTTAGTGTGCAGAAAGTGTTCAGAATATAGGTTATCATCTGGAAACATATCCTATGGCCTGAGTAAAGTTCATCTCCCTTTCACTGTCAAAATGCAAAGACTCTAGAAAATTCACTCTAAGCACCTTGCTTTTGTCTAAATTCATTTGTATAAAGCTTTACTCACTCTCTATTTGCCAATGACTCATGGTTAAATATTTTCACTAGTCTTTTTCCTTTTTTCTTTTTAATACAGTTGCAGATCATGTCACAGTCTGCTTTGTTCTCCAATCCCCCCCCAAGAAAAGCTAAACAACTCCAACATCCTCATAACCTTAATAAATTAACTTCATTCAGAGAAAGTCTGTATTCACTTCATAAACTGTAGTTGATGATAATTTCTTGAAATGATGAATACTAATTCTTAGGAATTTTCTGGAATCCTATGAAAATTCATATCACTTAACCTGTGTGAGTTGAAGGTTGGTGTCCAATGACTGCTAAGAAGATATAAGGATTGTTGCAGAAATATAAATAGGCCAGTAATGAATTTTAATTAACACTGCATATGTTAATAATAAATTCAATTAATTTGGCCTTTACCTATAGTAGAGAAAAGAAATACTCAGGCAAAATAATAATTCATTTTAAATGCTTCAATTGGTAACCTCCTTTCCTGAAGAGTGATTTATGCAGTAATTTACTGGCTGTGTCTTCATAAGATTGTTCTAAGTCAACCCTTTTGAAATAATCATAATTTCTGAATGTGTGTTGTGAGAGATATAATAAATGACTTCTAATTAATTTTCATTTAATGAGTTACCTATTCACATGGTAATTTTTTTAAATTCTCTCAAGATAAACAGTTTGTAAATACTGTGGACAACACTTCCATTTCACAAAAACCATGATAGGAAAATCTGCCTCATGTTCTCCACATGAAGATCAATCAGTTTGCAAATTTTATAAACTAAAGAGGCATTTATTTTTTTTCTAGTTGGCAGAGTACATCATTCTAAATTTCTATAGCCTTGAGATTCCAAATTGGTTACCATACAAAAAACAGACTATTTATTAGCAAAAAAGTTCCTAGCAGGAATTGCAGGGAAGATGCAGGAAACAAAGTCACAGGAAACCAAACAAAGGTAGAAAGATAATTTAGGTTGCTTAAGGACATTCTGACTTTTTTAAAGAACAAGACACATTATGAGCATCTCTTACAGATTCCCTATTTCTCCCAGTCCCCCACTTGTAAAAAGACCCCACATTTTCTCATATAAGTTTTACTGTTTAAGAAGAATTTTAATTGCATATCTTTTCCAAAATTCAATTACACAGCAACTCAATAATTATATGCTATAATAAAAATAGCCATGATGAAATAGTAAAGCTAGAAAAATAATAAAAACTAGGAAGAAATTACTATCATGAAGGAAAAAATTACTCCTAGCTGTTTTAAATAGTTCACACCTATTTAGAAAGCCTTGCAATAAAAAGGGCAAGGCTCTTAAAAATAATTCCCTGCAGACTTGGAAGTGTGCCTACCATATTAAATAATTCAAACGCAATTGTTACTTACAAGAGAAGCGAAAGGGCCTCGCTCCTAAGCCGCAATGCCTTATGCCCTCTCCGTGGAAAAGCCCGTACTGCATCTCACCCATGAACTTGTCCAGTTCCTGCCCTGAAGCATTGACGAGCAGAGCCCCTGTTTTGCACAGGAAGGTGGCTTTAATCCACAGCGGCGTCCCTAGAGCTGTCACAACTCCGAGGGCGCACAAGAAACTTAGCACCCCGGCCGTGCAAAAAATTATTTTCTTCTGTTGGTTTGGCATGTTGAGAAATGGCCTTTATGCGGGTGAGGTTCAATACCAAGACCTTTGTGAGCGATGAGAAGTGACTTCCCGTTTGGCTGCATTTATTATAGAAACTGAATAGACAGATCCCACTGAAAAGGCTACTTTACCATATGGACAGAGGTTCTGCCAGGTCAAACGTCAGTCATATACCAGGCTTCAGGCTTCTTCACCACACTTACTGAGCTATTCCGTATTCCGTTTCTTCTCCCTAATTTGAAATCTTTGAACTAAGATTCTGTGAACTAAAATTCTTCAAGCTGCCTTTGAGTATCTCCTCTGTGTTACTTAGTAACAAAGGTCTAAGGTAACAGAGGAGTCCTACATGTAACTTGATCAATACCACCCCTTTCCTCAACCTTTTGTTTGATTGGGTGAGTTGAAACTTTCAGAAAGAGGCTTGGTTTCTATGGTAAATTTTCAGCTCTTTGAGATTGTCTTTTCTTTTATTTTTCATTTCATTGATTTTATATTTTAAAAATAAGAAAAACTGATTTATAGAAGAACGAAGAAAGATACATGGATATTATTTCCAAAAAGAAATACCATCTAGCATTTTATAAAGAATATAAAACTTTCAAAGAATTTTGAAGGTAACTTACTTCTTATGCCAATTTGTTTTCATGAGATATTCATTAATTGAAGTGTATTTATTTATTTATTTATTTATTTGTTTGGTTGGTATAGTCAGGGAGGAGCTTTGGCAGAAGTAAGAAGAATGTATGTATAACTATTGGTAATCAATTCATTTTTTTAAAAATGTTAATTGTAGCAGGATATGGTATTGAAAATAATTTTGTGGATAGGAAGTGCCAAAACAGACACCCTACTGATTTTGAGAAAATGTTTGCGCACAATACTAATGATAAAGGACTGATCATAAAAATCTACAAAGAGCTGATGAGACTCAACAAAAACAAAGTAAATAACCCAGTCAAAAAATGGGCAGAGGTATACAAGAACTGGGGCACAGGCCAGAGGTGAGCAGATTCACCAGAGACAGAGCGGGAAACAGAACAGGCAGACTGACTGAAATATACTGCTGAGGGGAGCAGTGGGTGAGCCAGGAGAGGTCTGCTGGCCATGTGGGTAGCTCCTTGGCCACTTCTCCTTGACACTTTTTCAAAGAGGAAATACAAATTGCCATCAGGCATATGAAAAAATGTTCAACATCACTTGTAATCAGGGAAATGCAAATCAAAACCACAATGAGATACCACTTTACACCAGTGAGAATGGCACGTATTAAAAAAACTAGCAATAACAAATGTTGGCGAGGATGTGGAGAAAAAGGAACTCTCCTACACTGCCTGGTAGAAATGCAATTGGTCCAACCACTATAGAGAGATGTATGGAGGTTCCTCAAACTGCTAAAAATGGAGCTTCCATATGATCCAGCAATTCCACTTCTAGGTATCTACCCAAAGGACTCAAAAATGTTAATTCAAAAGGATACCTGCACCCCTATAGGTAAGCTATAGAAACAACCCAAATGCCCAAAAATAGATGACTGGATCAAGAAGATGTGGTACATATACACCATGGAATATTACTCAACAATCAAAAAAGATAAACTCATGTCATTCACAGGAACATCGATGGAGCTGGAAGGGATCATGCTCAGTGAAACAAACCAGAAAGAGAAAGAGAAATACCGGATGGTTTCACTTATAGGAGGAATGTAGAGGATCCAAATAAGGGATCAGGGGAAAAAAAGTAATTATAATTAAGTAAAAGCAAAAGAAAATCCTCAGTAGAGCATTACATTCTGCACTAAAAACACGTGGACTATATAAAAATGTATAAAAGGGGGGGGGAGTCAAAATCCACAGCTATAAACCAGAGACATTCTTCAGGGGAAGGAAATAGTTGTATCAAAACAGGGGTGGGAAATGCACAAAGGAGGATTGACAATCCAGTTCACTATGGTGATGTTACACAGGTGAATTGATGTGGAAATTTCACGGGACCATACCCCAGATAATAAAGCATACACGCCCAGCAGAGGTGATTGAGTAGAGAGACCTGAGTAAGGTTAACTATCAGAGTGTGTTTAGTTAAATTGTCAAGATCTGAAAACCAACGTTCAGAATTCAGTGACAACTTTTCAATTCTGCATTTCCAAACAGATTCCTCTTTCCACAAGCAGATGTAGGACAGATGTGTGTGTATCATGGTGTTTCTGTCTTCACCGTCTCTCCATTGTATGCCACCTTGCTGTGCTAGACTGCGACCTACAAAGTTAACTTTTAGTAAGAACTAGTATGTCTGGTACTTTGCTAGTGCTTTACCTAAAATATCTTATCAATTGACACATTTGCCATATAAAGTGATGATGAAGAAGATAATTGTGATATCAAAAGCACATGTTTATGCTAGTTTCTATTCTCCGGATCCATTTTTAAGCACAGACGTTTAGAATAAATTAATGAATGAAGATTTATTTCACACCATTGTTATCATAAATGAGTTTCAGGTTATGGCGCTTTGAGAGGAAATCGAAGTATAGTCCTGAACTTCTTGGCATAATTGCCCTCCCTTAGCGGCCAGGCAGTATCCTGTTAAAGATAGTTTAATACAGAACTGAGTCAAGAATGTGAAAGTCGCTTTAAGGGAGGTGGGGGGCAGCATAGACCAGGGCCACAGAATGGGGTACATACAATATTCCAAAGATTACACAAAATCAAGTTAACAATATATATATATTTTATTTCATGTAATTTGACACACAGATTTAACAACTCATCACAGGTTGACTGAATTCTCCATTACATTTAGAGTGATTGTCATCAAGTGCGCTAGTAAGGCAAGTGGACACCAGTGCCCCCAATAAATAGTCATCTGGGAGTACATGTATGCCCACCCTAAAAACTTTAGTTTCAAATGTCTGAGGAGAGCTAAGATAAACAAACTGATATGTTCTATAATTGGAGGAGACAGGACATTTCCAAGTGTGGGAGCAGAAATTACCTAATACTTTATCAGTGTTGTGAATATTTTTACAGAAAATATAAAGAGAAGGCTAATTAGCATGGACAGTGGTTTAATGAACCAAAACCCAGTGTAGGGTAAGGTAAAAGGTATCAGGCTTTTCTGCCCTCCCGCCATCAGGATAGATGAGGGAACCTTGTGATCCTGAATGCATGCCTGATGGCGGGGACCTGGAGTGGGTACACCTGGGCTAAGACTGTGATTTTTTTAAGGGCGCGTCACAGGGATGCCAGAAGCCAAGAAAGCAGCAGCAGAAGCCGAAAGAGAAGCAGCCCGAAGCAGAAGCAGAGAACGCCAGAGAGCCCAGATAGAGTGAAGATTTGCTGGGGGCTGGGAGGACTGCCAGACTCCCAGCACCCCTGCCTGCCACGTACCCACTGAACCCCAATAAAAACCTGCAAAAGGACTAAGGACTCTGACTCCTCCTTTACCCTGTCTGCATGGGATCAGAAAACCTGCACCGTGTCTATTCCTGCCCTTACACCCAGCCAAGTATATTTCAATTTATCCAAGAAGAAAAATCCTGTCTATAGATGAATCATACCCATTCTTAAGTTTGTACCAATCTATAGTGAAGAGTCCCTGATGTATAGAAACATAAGAGAAATGAGTACAAGTGAGTGAGTTAAACTTTTATTCTGAAATTTTGCCCTTCCTAGTTTTTGTTGTTAAATTTTCCTCTCTGATAAAATAATGGTAGCTGAAAATTTAATGTCCTTTCTTGACACATTAAAAATCTGTCAAACCATATCTGTTTCAGTTTGAAAAAACAAAACCACACCCACTGGCCTATGACATACAAGGTCTGCATCCCTGTGTAGAAAGGACAAGGCCTGATGCCTAGCTATGGCCTGGATTTCTCTTTGCCCTAACCCAGTGGTTTTCAGACTTGCCTGCTCACTGGAATCATATGAGATTCAAAACATACTGCTCTAGGGCCTCCCTGGTGGCGCAAGCAGTTAAAACACAGCCTATGAAGTTGCCCACAACCTCTGCAGCATGAGTTCAATCCCGGCCAGCCAGGGAGCAACCCACCTGGCACAGCAGACCTCTCCTGTCTCGCCTGCTGCTCCCCTCAGCAGTGTACTTAAATAATCTGCCTGTTCTGTTCCCTGCTCTGTCTCTGGTGAATCCTCTCACCCCTCACACCTCTGGTCTGTACCCCAGCTCTTGAATGCATAAATAAATAAATATCTCTCTAAAAAAAAAAAAAACAACAACAACAACAACATACTGCTCTAGGTCCTCATCCTTGAGTTTCAGATTTGATTTTAGAGAATGGTTTTGGTGTGAAAGCACCCCCAGTGATTGCAATGTAAAGCCACAGCTGGGAACCAGAGTTCTTCCACCATTCATTCCCACTCAGCAGCCTTCTGATTACTAACTAGGCTTTGCAGGCTAGTAGGTACTTGAATGCACATGGTCATGAGTGTCCTGGTCACTAGAGAAATATTCTCCAATAAATTAATAAATTGGCACTACCACAGATAGCTCAAGCTTCCTGAATTTTGGGCAGCACGAAGAGCATGATTGTGTCAATATGTCCTAATGAGGTCAAGTTTCAGCATATCCAAAATTAAAGACCAGCCATGGATAATAGTTTTAGCCCAAGTCACCATGTGAATGACAATGATGATGTCTCCAGGTTCTGAGACAGCTCCCTCTTGGCTCCTACACCCACCTCACCTACTCTCTGTGCAGGTGCCTTTCAAACTTTAATACCAACCACCCACAGGGAGTGTGTGTGATCCACCCTCTGAGAATGATATAATAGAACCTGGCAGTCATTATGCCTGACAGCCTTCTTTTGAAATTTCATCTTAAATGTCTTGAATGACAGTGATGACACCATTTTCCTTGCAGTCTCTGTGAGAATTTGAGTCATTAATGTCAGCAGGTTTTCACCAAGTATCCTACTGAAATCTTTACTTCTCTCAATCGTAATAGCAATATATTTGGTGACATAGGAAAATGGAAAGAGACCTTTCCATCTTCCCGCAGGACCACTTTAGGACTGGATGAAGATAATT